TTCTAAAAATGTAGAAACATGATCAACTACTAGTAAAAAAATTTCCAGTTATCCAATCAAATATTTAAATAATATTAAACAAACCCAACTTCCTGTCAGTTACTCTACTGTTTACTATCTCGAAGCCTTGGACAAACAATATCTCTAAGAGTTGTTACACATCTCAGCCAACAACTCCAGACAAAAATTGCTGTCACATTTCCAAACTATTCCAACTTTCATGTGTTCCCAGGCTCTCGAAAATGTGATTATTTTGGAGGAAGAAACAAATAAAAGGGAGGGGGGGGGAATGCTTTAGGCAAAACTGCAGTGAGCAGTCCCCTGCCCATGCCTTGCATGATGCAACTGCAGTTAAGATTTGACAACATTCAGACATGGTCCTCGATGTTGTATATTTCAAGCGGGGGGCCTGGATTTCATTAAAATTTTGGGAAATGCCTGAGGTGATGAGATACAGGTACATCCGATTTTGTAAAACTCAGGATGTGCGCTTTGTTATGCTTAAAGCTATCATTGAGTTTTTTATAGCAAACATTTTGGGTCTGGGTTTTACCGAAAAAAAAAAAAATACTTTTTTTCAATTGAAGCGAAATTTTTATCTGACCTTTATTATAAAGATCAGATGATATTGCAATTTCTGTTTCTTTCTGTTTCAAATATCAGTTGAAGCCTGAGATGGAGCGTTATGAGTGGGTAGTGATAAACCATCCGGAGTTAGCATCCAAGACTCATGGCCCGAAGGACACTGCAACATCTGGAGGCCAAAGCTCCGACAACAGTCAGTTACAGCAGCCGGAGAAATCCGTGGGTGAACTGTCACCCTTTCTGTCGGCTCACCACTTCAACCTGAACTCTAACAATACATCTATGTTCATGGCTGGAAACATTGACTCCATCATCGTGGGTGAGCCAACTGTAAAAACCATTTTGTGTTGTGTTTTATGCATTTATGATAAACAAAGAAAAAAATATTGATTTGATTTGCCCATGTAAAATAGCTGACCATTGACTTATACCATATTGTGCCCATGGGGTATGATCTACAAATAATACTATTCAACAAAGGCGTCAGAAAATATACTGTTACCGTATGTCCCAGAACTTGATCTATCTATCTATCTATCTATCTATCTATCTATCTATCTATCTATCTATCTGAAAAAACTGTTAATTCCTTGCTGCCCTTATAATAAATCCAAATTCTGTTTTTATAGCTTTAGCTCATGCATTCCTGGAAGAGTAGATAATAATCCATTGTACCCATGGATAATGTAGAGTACATTATCCATAAGTACGATGTGAGTGTGTATTGTTGTTTATATCTATGGATGGCCCTGCAATGGACTGGCAAACTGTCTACCAATTGTCTCTAGCGCCACCTGCCGCCCCGCAGAGGAATAAGACGTAAATACTAGATGGATTAGGAGTACCGGTAAATGTGTCTTTCTACACAGGTGGAGGTGAAGGCAACGCTTTGTTCATCGACGCAGAACTGAACCATGGGCGAACTGGCTGGTGTGCTACCTTTGACAATCCTCCGTTGTGTACAGAGAGCTTCCAAGTGTCACTGCTGGAAGTCTGGGGCTTCCTGGACGCCGTTGACAAGTAATTCTCAAATATCACAGACTTTTTAAAGAGGTTGGGAAAATACATGTGAACAACACTGCAACAAGTCTTGAAGAATTTTAAACTACTGAACGTTTATATCCCAAAGTTTCATTTTTTAATTATTCGTCGTTACTGTCGTTTTTTTTTTTTTGTTTGTTTGTTTGTTTTTTTTTGTTCTTAACTCCTCCACCTCAAAACATAGACCGTTAAAACTTCTGGTTTCAGACCAGGTTAGACCTGAACTCTTCTGTTTGTTGTTTGTTCTCTTTAATTATAGGTGTCCTGTGTACCTGGTATTTTACTATAGATTTGCACAAACATGTATTTTCTTTACTAGGAAAATACTGACGCACAGGCCTGACTAAAATAAAGGAGAAAGAATATATATCAATAAAAGTAATACAGTAATAATACAACCAGGTACCAAATGATTCACAGCCTAGCACTGGTCTTTGGCCCATAGCAAAGTCTTCAGTTGTTTTAAGACAAAAAAAAATGATGGCCTTAACACTATCACTACATAACTACAACACTGCAAATAACGTGAAGCTCCTCCACGTGTAGATCTATGAGGGAGGATGGTACTAACCTGGACTATAGAACCTTGTATCGAACAGTACGAACAGAATAAACAGCTGGAGTAAATGGTCTAAGTCAGTACTCTCAAATAGTGGGGCGGGTCCCCTGGGGGGGGCTGCGGTGAGGTGCCAGTGAGGGTGTGGGGGGGCTTCCAATGGAATATGGCACCCTGGACATAAGTGTCTACCACTGCTGTAATGCTTGAATGATAACAAGCCTCCAGTCACTAGGTGGCAGCAGCTCATACAGTGGTTTGTACAGATGAAAATATACATGTTTTCAGGTTCTCAATAGTATTTCAATTCACGGGAGTGTGTGTCAGAGGGGTGTGAGGGAGGGGGGGGTCGGAGCAGCGTGAAAACATTTCTGTTCCCAAGGGGGGGGGGGCATGACAGAAAATAATTAAGCAGAGGACCACTGGTCTAAGTGAATAAGGGATTTGTTGAAAATATACTCTAGATGGGATTTCAAATAGAGTCAACATGACTCGCTATGTATTTGTTGGATCTCAATAGCACTCAGTCTACAACAGCAATGTAATTAAAATATGAACCATGTCCATCTGTAGCCATCTCACAAACAAAGCTCTCTAGTGTCCATTCTACAAAAACAAAAAAAATCCAATTTATTAAAATGTTTGTGGTTGTTCGTGCTGCACTGTTTACCTGATGAGTGTGATGAGTGTGTGTTATATTGTGCTGTCTGAGTGTGTTGTCTCGTGACGTTTTACGAAATGAGTTTTGAATCATGTTCTGTGTATAATACATATGTGAATATGACGACTCTGTAAGGAGTGTTTCTCAACCTTGACACATTTTACACTGGAAAAAATGTCCACGAACACAAATGCCCCAAGGAAATACGTGTAATGAAATATGATTATGTATTTTCAGTTTACTCCCAATTTACTCACTCACTGTAAAACACACACAACTCTTTGGTTATACGAAACCTTGATGCTGTATACACCCAGGAATTGCAGAACACAGAGAGATCTTCTGGCTTTTATAGTTTTTTGGAGCCATCTGCTTCCACTTGGTGGAAATGTAACTGTTCTGCACGTCACGGTCACCTTTACAAACAAAGACAAATATTGAATTTAATAAATTATTATTTTTTATTATCTGTAAGTACCCAAAGTACAGTGCCATTTAGTACCATTGAGTATTGAAGGCTGGAGCAGCTAATGATTGTCTCATAATCTTTACTCTGTGAACACAGTAGCGATGATGTCCTAACATCCTGTTGCCATAGCACATTATAGTTCAATGTTAAAAGGTAATGTAGTGAAACGGTAGTTGAATATCTATAACTGATATCTATAACTCATGAATGGGGAAAAATACAATGGTTTCACCCCAAAGACACGGTGTTTGAGTTGTTTTTTTTTTACTCTTTTGCTCACATCTTTGTGTTGCATTACAATACAAAGGATTATTTTTACAGAGGTCAGATGTCAGACATGTGACTTTGTCCTCATCTTACCATGTACATACTTTGTATTACTGTCCTTGGTCCATTTGCATCAAATAGAGAACATATACTGTATATTGGTTAAGGAACCGGACTTGGGTCCAGAGGTCTTCAGGTTTGAGTCCTCCAGCTTCCAAGTTTCCACTAAGGTGCTCTGAGCATGGCACTAAGCTGCCCACTGTTCACTTTGGTGATGGGTTAAAAGCAGAGGTCACATTTGGTAGTGTGCTGTGTCACAATGACAAGTAGTTCACTTTCCCTCCTACAATAATCACCTACAATAATCACCTTCCTCCAACACTGCCTTTATGCAGACAGTAAGGGGGTTGTAAGTAATCCAGAAAAGTTGGAACACCTATATTTAGTAGCACCAGCTTTCAAGGCTGATTCAACCTTCATTGCTGCAGCTTTAAATTGTTAACCCATTTCGTTTTCCCTGAAAATGGCCATTTCTGTAATGTACTGTAATGTGAAATGCACATTATTTTTCAGTTTTGGGTAACCAAACCTTTTTTTTTAACCTCTGGCTGTTCAGTACTTACCTT